ATTTGCTAAGCGCCTCGAATGATTCTTTTGACGAATTTCATCGAATCTTTTGAGTTTGTTTAGTATATATGACAAAGGTCTAAACTAACATACAATACTCATGTTTAGAATCAGCAACCCTAAATTATTTCTTATTGGTAGAAGATTTTCAGCTCTTTCAAAGCTTTATCTTAGGCAATAATTCTTAATGGTTCCAAACCTTTCGCAAGTTACCTTTTTACCACATCCAAATCGAAGGACGACGTGTTCCAAAGTGAGAAAATTTTGTAGAACGCACATACTCAATCGACATTTTTGAAGAGATATCTCAGATCAAAGCAAAATTTTCGTTGCGCTGTGATAAACAACGGAAGTGAGCATGTTTGACCTCGATTTAAGGGTGTTTGACCGCCAAACTATAATATATCGTTTGGATTACTGCATTCGTCAATGACATCCATTTCAAATAAAGCGTTCCCATTCCTTTAACTGGGCTAGCTGAAAACGTTCTGTTGATTCTTTAATTTTTCGAAGAATTGGAATTCTATTGTGTCTTCTGGATCTCTCACAACATCACAACATCAAATTCTCTTTGTTCAAAAAGCAAAGTGTTATTAATATGGATAATGATGTTCAATTACCCAAAAGTTTGTATCTCATATTTTCAAATCATTTGACCATTCATAAGCTTGAGTTTGTGGAGCAACCCCAACTTTTTTATATTAAATCTGATTTTTGGTTTGCAAAAACCATTCCTGCATTCACAAATACCATGACGTTGCATAAAACGACATTTGCACTGTCCACTTCCAAAAATATTTTGCTGGGGTGGGATTTTATTGCAGTGTTTTCAAATCACTTATTCTGAGGTAATTTGAATTGTACAATTTCGCTGACAATAGGTAATAAAAGCAAGAACACGGTACAGTTAGCAGCAATGGGAGTTCGCCTTGCGATATACTTGACTTTGGTAAGTTTTCATTTGAATTCAAAAAATATTAAAGAAAATTTTAAATTTAGGCGCTTTTCATTTCTTTTGCGTTTGCTGGCGATGGCGGCGACTGTGGAGAAGAAGGTTCGTGACGGTAAAGTATTTTGTAGAGTAACTAATTGGAGTTTTGGCCCAATTAGTTATTCTACTCCGTATGTCCGCTTAATCTTTCTCGCACAAAAACTTGCAGAAAATCCTAAAAGAAAATTTCAGAGGCTAAAACTTGCGGAAATGATACATGTGATTACTGTAGGACATACGGCACTGACTGTGTTTGCGCAGATGTGCGACCACAGTTTTGTGGTGACGATCCGAACTGTGAACTGATACAAAAATGCATCCCTCGAAGTAAGCATTTATTTCTTTCATCCATTCTTTCACAAACTACAGGATGTCCCAGAAAATGTATCGAACGTTTGATCTTTAATAACTTCCTTATA